TTCATAAAGAATACCAAGGGCCATCTATGGTTTCATGCCAACATCTAAATCCTGTAACAGTCTCTGAAGGTCCATGACCCAGGCTAGAAACATCATTGAAGAATGACTGGTTTTAATGTCGACATATGAAATGTATCTATTCATATTTCCTTGGCCATCTTAGAAACATTTGACCTGAAATGCCGTTCTATTATCTGATATGGTTTACATCAAAGGATACAAAAAAATGCTTTATTCTTTTAGCATAGTTTTTGGAGGGATGTGTCCAATCCGCCATGATGAAGCACTTGTGCACCTCTGCTGGTCATTTTCTAATCTGTCTTAATCAAGATCTGGAATCTTGATACTTTGAGAAAGTCAGTGAGACAACACAAGTTCAAGTTCCAGTGATATTTTGCTGTATATATGAACATTTCAACAATTTTGATGGTGTGAGTCAAAATGCTGCAGTATAGAATAGGCTTATTGAGGTAACTGCATTCAAATATGATGACAATTAGGATGATTGGCATATGAGAAATCTTTAGGAGTGAGAACCCATAGTGCCATCTCTTTGCATTAACTTGTGTGGTTGGAACTGTTCAAATTTACTCAGAGTTTGGAGCACTCATCCTGCAATACAGTCTGCACTCTCTGGCTAATTTTCTTCATCTCATTTTGACAGAGAATGCCTTGGACTTAACCTTACTTAGTTATGTGTCAAGTTGCATAGACCAAGTTAGGTTGGGAGGACACCTGGAGGTCACCTTGTCCAATTTCTTGCTCCAAGCATGGCCAGTTTCTGGGCTAGATGAGATTGATCAAGTTTTGAGGAAGAGAAAAGGAAAAAGAACTTGATTAGAACTGTCTTCATTTTGTGCTGTAACCATAAAATCACAAAATGAAAGCTGAGTGCCTTATTGCTTCTTACCTGAAACTGCTGGGGCTTCTATGGTCTCTGTTGAATCATATGTATGAAATATGTACCTGGAGCATACCCACTAAAGCTGGTATTTCAGGTAGCAGGGTCACCAAGACTTAATATTCAATTAGGTGAAGTCTGAGAGAGTACTGAAAGATTCAGAGGAACCCATAAGAAGGTAATTTTGGGTCTGCGCAGAAGTAGAAATTCATAAGCCAATAGAACCTCATCACTGCAAAGATAAACATGGTGGTCTAAGTACAATTAGCTTTGTAGAGATGAGTCTGGGTCTTTCCGCTTTGCAGACATCTATGTGACTAGGCAGTTGCTTTGAGAATCAGCCTGCTGCTTCTAAAACCAACTGTCTTAGCATAGGAACCAACTGCTGTTGTCTTCTATGACTGCAATGCTTCCTACAGGTCAGGGCTTCAGTTTCTGTGTTACACCTGAGGTCTTCTTGCTTTCGTGAAATGAGGATGACAGTGTTACTCTGTCAGATATATTATAAGGTTTATACTGCTGGCATGCTTGCAGAAAATGATAAGGTGTGCTGCAATTATGTAAGGGTATATAAACATACCTGCAATTATGTAAGGGTATATAAACATACCTACACTCTATCAGGTGTCAGCGTACTCCCAAGTGATTGTTAATCTTATGTTTCAAGATGTGCTACTATTCTGAAGTGTCTGTCCAGTAAATAGCAGCTGATAGTGACTGTATGCCAGTATATACGTATAGACAAGCAGACAGGTCAATAGATATTTCTTTTTAGGAAGTGTTGTTCAATATCACTCATTTCTGAGGGGAAGCAATTGTTTGCAATGCAGCTGGAATTCCAAAGTGCAAAGCACATGGAATGTGCAGGATAGTGCACTTAATTTCTGATAAAGGTGGAAGGATTTTGTGATCTTATTGTGAACAGAAGACTCATTTTAATCACAGAGGGATTCAGAATAGGACAGAGGTAGAAAAGCATAGAGGAAAAAAATTATTTAAAATATTTAAAAGCACCAAAATGCATACAGTTTTCCTTCTGGGAATATGACAGTGTGTGTGCTGCATCTGATGATTCTTTGCCATACCATTTAGTGCACTGCTGAAGCCACTAGGACAATTAGTTGAGAAATTAAGAATGCAATAAACAGTAGTCTGCATTTCTAGCAGGTTAAGACTCTAGGCAAAGTTACTTTATTGCAGCTTGTAAATTAATTCCCTGTAAAGGGGAAAACCCTGTTACTATTAATAGTGATCATTTTGACCACAGCTGTTTTCAGAGAAAAAATCCCACATATCTAACTGCTCATTCACACACAGTTCACTAATCATTATGGTATGGATGTGATTATAGCTGGAATTAATCTTTAAGGTTCAGCAACAATATTCTAGTATTTTTATTCAGGTTTGGCTTTTAGCCAGAAAATAGATAAGATTAAATCCCACATATAATGCAGTGCTACATTTTTAGAAAAGGAATAAAAGTTTACTTTTCACAGTTTAATTTTCACAACCAGGAAACATAACTTTAACTTAGTAGTTCTTATTTTATGGATGAAAGTAGAAAATTATCTTAGTTCAAAAAGCAGATGTCTTCTTTTTTTTTTCTTTAATTTTTGAAGCCTTATATTCTTTGACTTCCCTTTCCCTTTAGCAAAAATTTGCTTAACCTTTTTTTCAAGTGCAATTATAGTAATGAACATCTTCAGCACTTAGTGTTGAACTGGAACAGCTGAGCAAGTCAGAATGCATTAAAATGATTTCATAGAGCACACACAAAGCCTTTGTGTCCTCAAGGATGGCTGAGTAAACAGCAGATATTTGCTTGCTGAATAAAAAATAACACTAAACAGCCTTGGACAGTCTCTGGCTCCCTTAAATTTTCAGTATAAATTGCTAAGATCTACCCAGCAACAGTGTATGTTTTGGGGAGTTCAGAGTTTCTCTGTACTTTGCTAGTTGGTCTGGGTTTTCAGTGGTTTAGAATTCAACAGTTAAAAATTGCTCTAGTGTCTTATTTTGTGCATAGATTTTTTTGCTATTGCAAAGTTCTTATCCCCTCACTTTTCTTTCCCATTTTAGAGATGATTTGTGTCAGGACAGTAGCAAAGACGTGAGTTCAAGTCCTGAAGTAATATCCTGGATTCTGGCACTAGTCATGGCCAAGGGTAAACACTCTCTCTTTAAAGACTTTGTTTCCTGCAGTTTCCTGTTTGCTTACTGTGGAATTGGAGGTGCTTCTGGACAGCCTCCAAATGGCAGCATCCTTGCTCTAGTAAAGAAGTTAAATATAAGCATTAAGTCTTTTGAGATGTGTGTGCATATACTTGGGAAAACATAATTTTAAAATTTTATATATGTTATGACTATGTGACAATAAAAGGTAATTATTTCACATTTATGTATATCATTTACATGCATGTATGAAAAAAAAATCTTTTTACTCTCAAAGCTATGAAAAATGAGCAAATCACAACACTGCTATGTAAGCAAGATGTTACATGACGCTTATTATTGGTCATTGTTTCCTTAGAGTTGAAAACATTCTATGCACCAAACCTTCTACTACAACTCTTAGGAAAATAACACACAGTTCTGTATAGCCTCCCAGGATTTTGCTGAAGTCTCTTATGGGAAATAAGTTGTAACATAGAGTCACACTGTACAATGGTTGAAACTGTGTGACCCCACTTTTTACATTGTCGCATTCTCAGATCGTAATTATAAATGCGGACTGTAATGATGCCATGAAGCATGCACAAATTACCTGGAATTCATTCTAGCTCTTTCCATCATAGAATATGCAACTTAAATGCAAAAGTAGTGCACTTTGATATAACTTTTCTTCTTGTCAGATATGAACTGTCACTCATTCTCTCACTTTTTGTTACATTTCCAAAATACCATTAATTGTTAAACGACACTATTTAAATGGAATTAAACAGTAAACTCAAAGAGCAACAGAATATAAACCTAGCGTTAATTAACACATGACTTTTTCCCAAGGAGTTTTTCAGCACTGTAATTGACCACTAGGGAAGATTTACATCATTTCAGGGAGATAAAAGAACTGCGTTCTTTATTTTTTCTTTAAAGAAAATCGGTGCAAAGAAAAACAGGACCAAAAAAAAAAAAAAAGTGTAAATAAAAATTTCTATGTATTATTGACAGCAGATCCTGTTTTGTTTCACACCATCTCTTTAACAAATATTTAAATGCCATTGAGGAGACTTCCCTTTTATCACTTCACATTCTTTGCATTTAATTAATGAGTGAGATTGACATAAATAGGAGGTCATTGACTTGGGCAAGCATAAAGCAGCTGTAATGTTGACTTTTAATTCAATTATGTAAATATCAAAGCATAGATGGAAAAGTTAGTAAGAAACCTCTCCCAAAATTAAATATGTTCCCCAAGGCTCTAAATGTATTGAATATGGAACTGAACAGGGAAAACTCACACCATCATACTTTTTTTGTTGTTAAAGAAGACTTAAAATTACTGTGAACTTTTTACTGTTTTTAAAAGGAGCAGCAGTTAGCTGTTGTGCTAAGTACAGGAGCTGTCTATATTTGTTTTCTTACAAATAATTTTACAATTATAGCTAAAGTAATCCTTAACGGTATTGCATTTTTTCTATATTTGCCAGTATGTTTGATTCCTCCAGAATTTGTATATATATAAAAGTTTCAGATGTTTCTGACAATGGCTAGTAAATACAAAGATATACTTTGTTTCAAGGATAACAGACCATCTTTAACAATTTCAGCACTGAGACATTTTTTAGCTATTATACCTCTTCCCTACAATTGTTTCTGAAATTATATTTTTTCATAACAGAACATGTGCAGATAAATGAAAACTAAATGGCATCTCATACAGAGATTGTAAAGCCTGGGAAACACACATAAGAACTCTTGCTAGTGTTTCTTTTCCAACTTTATAGCAGTGTCAGTAACTGTGTTTTCTCTAGCTGAATTGTCGAAATACCAAATTCCAAACAAACAATTTTGTAATATGAAAATAACCTGATATTTCAACTTGCTTTTTTTTCAACAGAAACAATGTAAATTCATATAAGCATTTAATATATGAACTTACCTCTGCTTCCCTGAACTTGAAGAGCAAGGCAAATGATCAAAAATATCAATCCAGTTTTCAAATGCATGCTGTCTACTGATCATTCACAGTTTTCAAGATCAATAATGCAGGAAATCAAAATATTTAAGTCAATTAAAATAATTTTCTTTTCCTTAAACAACTAAATAAAGTTCCCACAAATCTTCCCTCTTTTTTTTTTTTTCAGGTATCCCAGCCTTGTACTGCATTGACTTGCAACTAAGCAAAGAGTGCAACAGGTGCCAGAATGCTGGAGCTGGGCAAACCCCTGCAACACACACACTTAGCCTGGGGAGCTGGAGGGGTAAGACAAGAGTGACGAAGTCTTAAAAAAAAGCAGTGTCTGTTTCTGGAATAATCTGTTTATCTGCTCCTCAGACATAATCCCTCTTACGGTCCAGCTAGAAGAGCTTTCTTCATCTTATTAACCTTCTGGAGCAGCATCTGTCAACCCCAGAAGACTTCAGTGGCACCATGATAAACAACGGAAGTCTCTTCTACTGCTCATTGCCTTTGAACATTGATCCTTTGGGCATTCTGGAGGTACTGCGTGTGAGCAGAGGCGAAATCATGGCAGGAAATAATTGTACTGTTTCCAAAAGAGTGATCATAGACCCCAGGGAACTTTCTTTGAAGAGGAAGACAGCCTTTTCTGAAAGAACATACTATACTCAGCTTTTTCTACTGCATGTGTCTTGGAAGCTGCTCTCCTTTCTCATACCAAAAGGTTGCCGTTGCAATGTTCCTGTTGGGGCAGTGATGATGATGATCTATGACAGCAGGGCAATGATGATTCAGCAGTAAATTGCAGCAATATTCAAGGCTGGCACAATCTGATGCCACACTGGAAATGGGGGAGGGAAGATGTTTCAGGGAGGAAGAATAAGAAACGGTGGTAGGAAATGCTGTTTCAACCGCATAGCTATAATCAGGACAAGAACTGGCAGCGAGTGAATACACTTTTCAAACAGCTTTGTTCCAGTCTCCCAAATAACTATTCTGGTTAAATATTTGGCACGTGTAAGAATTCTAGACTTACTTTTTATTTTCCAGGACATTTTTTGCTGTATTACATCTAGAAAAGTTACCATGTGGGCACTTGTAATGGTCTGTACCCCTTAGAGATTTTTGTGAACTGTGCTTTAACATAGGAAGTATCTAGACTGGCAGCAAGAATCTGTAAGTGCAAGTTACTTTCAGAACAACCTTCATTTGAACTCAGTCAGTATTCTATTTTTACTTAGGATTTAAACAATTGTAACCTTCCTCCCTTCCCAAGATTGCCTAATTTTAACTGCTAAGACCAGATAGTTCAGAGATAGGTCTGGGACCAAATAAGATCTGCTTTTTTTTTTTCAAATTTTATTTTCACAATCTTCTTATGATCAGTGCTTATATTAATGCTTTATGTTTATTGCTTCATGCATCTTGTTTTATTGTTCAAATAAAACTAATTAACAATACCTTGCCAGCAACACAATGCAAAGTAATGGTGGAGATAATCAGGATTTCCACTGGAGATAATTCAAATAATACCTAAGGATTATTCTTTAGCAGTAGCAATATTTGTTTTTTATATTTTATGTATCATAATCATATGCTATATACTGTAATCATATAAGTACCTCTACAAACCGTGTAAGCTTTCGTAAGCATGTTACTGTCTAAAGGTGAAGTTTCCCCTGTTATCTAATTTTAGTTGTTTCAGCTCTCAACCTGCAACAACTGGAAATGTGGGGAATTTTTCTCAGGTGGGATCTGCTGTTTCAGGTGACATCTGAAAGTGCAGGATTGGCATAAATCAGATTATTTTCTCAGATCACCTTAGGTTCCAAATTTCCCATGAAATTCGATAGGAATGTGATCCTTTAATTCTATTATAAATTAAAAAAAAAAGCATCAGACTGCATTTTGAAAATGTGCAATAAAGATTTACTTAATTACTCTGCAGAGACTTGTCAGTGACGCAAGAGCCAGGAATCAAAAATCCTTCACCAACCTTTCATTTAAAAACATGTTTTTGAGTCTTTCATGTACTGGAAGAGACAAACATTTAATAAAACATACTCGTACCTTTCAAAGACAAAGGAACATGAACAATCCCAAACACACCACAGTGTTTAGTGTCAGGTATGGCTTAAGGAAAATACTGAGCTCCATAGGTAAACTGTGACTAAAAATTTGTAGGGCAGGAGTCTGCACACTTTGAGATGATGCTTAAGTCATGACTATTTTAAGCTCTTTTCTGTTAAGGCAATGCCTTCTAGGTATATGCATTTAAGAAACTTTGTAAATAACCTTGATAACTGCCACAAGGGAAGCAAACAAGAATGATAAACACTCATTAAAGCTAAAGCAATATTCTCTAGGGACCACTCCATCTCCAAGTACTGTAGTGCTTAATTACAGGTCACTGTTAATTAATCTAAAAGTATTTCTTCTAGTTCATGTGCTGTCATCAATAATATATATTCCTAAAGAGATGATTAAAAGAATTCTACTGAAATTCAATAGTGCATTATAAATACACTACCAAGACATGGAAAGGATGAAACTGTATGCTAAAATATACATTCATCCAGGATAAGTGCTTGTAAATGGATTAAATCAGAGCTGTTAATGGTCACCTCAGTGAATTGCTGCACATACCTAGAACAATAAACCAATGTGCCATTTAAATACAACTAAAGCTGTTTCCTTTGCTTGAAGAAAAATCACAGTTTAGGCTGTCAAGGACTCTGCTTAGAAGAATTTTGATGTAAACTGCTGGTACTGCTGGGGCTTTCATCTCATAACTATGATCTAAAAGTTGCTATGCATAGTGCTCAATTTTAGGTACCCTATATGTGTATAAAAACCAGCCAACTCATTTTACCCATACAAGTGAGTCAGATTCTATACCATCAGAGTCAGTCTGTAACACCTAAGTTTGACTTCTGGTTTTAGCTGTCTCAAGTAATTTCTCCTACTGGTCTAGCCAGCTGTTTTCCTTATACTTTCCATGCTGTGTTCACCTAAGAGGCCTGTCCAGCCCTGAAGAAGGGAAGATATATAATTACAAGGTACAATACAAGTCTTTCTCCGGCACTCTTTATTTCCATAGGAGCCAGATTAGCACCTGGCAGGCAGCATGCAGCAGGCATAGCTTTAGACTTCTGATTAAAAGTGAGGAAACCCGGGTTTTTCTGCTCCCTTTTTTGCTGCTGAGTCTGGACAAACCAAGCCCTGTATCTCAGCCTCCATATCTGCAAATGGAGGGGATGACCCTGGGAGAGAGAGAAAAATTTCTGTAGGAGCAAACAAGGTAACACATGTAAGGAAGAATGGGTTTTTTTCCTTGCCTTTCTCATGCGTTAAAATATAAACAAAATATTTCACAAATTATTATTTTAAATTTTAAGAACAGTATATTATTTTTGATGTTCTGGTGTACATATCAAATATAGGCATCCTGTAGTGGATTTAAATAGCTTGTCATGAAGAGCATGTCTTTTTGCTCTTTGCCCTTTTCCAGTTGGGCAGTATTTGTATTTTGCCCTCTACTGCTGTGCAGCCACCACTGAACTAATGCAAGATTTATATTTACTCAGTCAATTAAATAAAAAAACCCCAAACACATAGCTCTCAAGACAGTAAAATAAACCCTTTTTTTCTTCTGTTTTTATTTATATTTTGTAGACAATTCCTCTTTCTGGTGTCTCTTTTTAGTAGCAGGGAACAAACATGATCACATCAGGGAAAGCCAGTTTGAAACTAAGCAAAAAATTTTCTCCCTGAAGGAACTGATCAGTGTCCACATGTTGTGCTTGCAAATGTTCTCTTGTGTTTCAAACCAAATTTTGTCTAACACATGTCTTCTGGAAATTCTTACATTTTACCTTCAAAACAAAACTTAGCCAGTATATCCTGGAAGGCTGCCATATAACTCATTTTGCTGGTGGCCATAGTGACAGCACTGGGATAATGCACTACATTTCTATTTGGGTGTCTTTTATATTTTTATCTGCAGCTTGCTGGGACAATAAATTTCACAATTTAATTCTGCATTTTATGAAAATTTATTTCCTTTATATAAGAATCAGAAGGAATCTGACAAAGTCAGGAGCACTAGATCATCGAGGAATGGGATATACATGCTGATCCTGTTGCACAAAGTCTGTTAATCACCAATAGTCAAACACTGTGAAGGCAAGCTAAGAACTGGATCACTTTTCCTTGCCTATTCCTTGTATTATTTCCCTACCTATTTATTTGCCATAAATATAGATAAATTACTAGATTAACTGGGTCTTTAATCTGACCCCACGTGACTACTGTTAAGCACTGAGCTGTGGTACAGACTAACCTGCCATTAAAGTCAAGTCTACCCAGTAGTTTTAACAACTCCTGCTCAGACTGAATGGTGTCGCATAGTTATCTGTTTTCTCCAAAACAAGGAGCCTGATGCTCTGTTCTATAGTTGCAGCAAACATTGTGGAATTCTGGTCTGAACACAGAATTGAAGCAGGTGATAATGCAGTTGTCCCTTTTCATGAACATAAACCTAGACCTCTTCTTCAGTTGAAAGGTATTTTCAAGATTCTCTAGGGTCTTTAAAAAGCTTTGCTCTTTTGCTGTTATTTTGCAGTTATGAAGTCCTAAAACCCTTATAATTTAGAATGGGAAAAAATATTAGGTGCATACATTTACATGATGAGTCACAGATACATCTCTAATGACTGCTTGACCCAATCATCTGTGCTTTCTTCTAAAACTTTTGATACTGTACACTGTTAATTAATGTATTTAGATGCTGTTTAGTGTGATAAGAGAGATAAGGGTGTGGAAAAAAGAGTGGTATTAACAGAGTAATTCAACATAATTAAGAGGAAAATGCCCCACCTGACCTCATGCACTTGCTTATGTCCCAAAACACAACTTTCTATTATTTTAGGTGCTTAAGCTTACATCATGGGGAGCCATGTAATAAGCTGAGACATGTTCCTTCCTATGCTCGACAAATTGTTTTTCTCTTGATGCTCAGAAAGGATCTTTCTAGATTTAACTGATAGAGTTATCTAATGGAAGCAAGCCTGCAGAGTGTGGTCTTTTACAATACGTGTTTTCCAGTCAGAAGCATGAACATAGAAGAAGCTGGTAGGTCAGTTTCTTCTTATAGTAATGGGAGAACATGTTTAGTAGTGAGTGAGAAGGCAAGAAGGGAGATATATAAAGTATTCGGTGTGCTTGTATCTCTACAGAAGTTTAGATTTTCCTTCTTTGAGGGAGTTGGCACGAGCAAATAGTTACTCTTTATTGCTTAGCCTAATGCTGTTCAGTTTTTTCTTTCACAGTTTTTCTTTCAGTTATTCCTTGTCATGCACAGTGACTGCATTTCTTTATCAGTGTTTTACTTTCTAGGTTTACCACAGGAAAATGAAGTATGAAATGACCATATTTCCTGTGCAGACGTCTGACCTGGTAGGCAAGAGTTTTTGGCTCAAGGAAAAGTCTTGCAAAAAGCCCTAATTTGTGCTCCAGTGTTATGTGGTGCTGAAGCTGTTGAAAAGAGAGAAATTAAAAATCTACCTGGAAAGATAA